TAAAAATAATTTTACTATTTTCTAGTTTTATTTTATTTCATTTTATTTATTTATTATTTATTTATTTTTGGGGTCCGGTCATGGGGCCTGAACTCTGGGCCTGGGCACTGTCCCTCAGCTCTTCAGCTCAAGGCTAGTGCTCTACCACTTGAGCCACAGCGCCACTTCCAGCTTTTTTCTTTTTGCTTATGTGGTACTGAGGAATTGAACCCAGGGCCTTACGCATGCAAGGCAAGCGCTCTACCACTGAGCCACCTTCCCTGCCCTATTTTCTAATTTTAGAATACTATTTTCTACTTAGAAAATAGTATCACTCCTTTTTAAATCTCTGCTACCCTATCCTCTTCTCTCTCACCCTGATTAGGTTTCACTTTCATTGTCTTCTGGTTTTCTTCTTTTCATAATGACAGAGCTGTTCATATCTTCTTACTTCCTTTTCTTACACAAAAGTTAGTATCTTTTTTGATGAGTGCAAAAATTAAAATTAACCTCAAGTTTTATGAAAAGTGTTACAGGTAAAGCAGTCGTTAGGGCAGACAGAATGAAAAAAAGTACCAGTATGTTGGCAGTAAATATTTAGCTTTATTTATACAATGTATTGATGTTCCTAGTGACAACTCTGTAAAACTATATAATCTTCTGGGTAATAAAAGGGAATTATAAATAGTTTTGCATTTATTAAATTTTATTCTAAGCCAAGTGCTGATGTTCATGCCTAAAATCCTAACTGAGAGCTTAGGATCTCTGTTCAAAGCCAGCTCTGGCAGACAAATTCAAGAGACTCTTTTTTTGTTTTTGTTTTTTTTTTTGGGTCCAGTCGTGGGGCCTGAACTCTGGGCCTGGGCGCTGTCCCTCAGCTCTTCAGCTCAAGACTAGCACTCTACCACTTGAGCCACAGCGCCACTTCCGGCTTTTTTCTTTTTGCTTATGTGGTGCTGAGGAATCGAACCCAGGGCCTCAGGCATGCAAGGCAAGCGCTCTACCACTGAGCCACCTTCCCAGCCCTCAAGAGACTCTTATCCCCAGTTAATCAGCAGAATGCTGGAAGTGAAGGTGTGACTGAAGTACTAAAAGCATTAGTGGGAGTAGAAAGGACATGCCTCAGTATTAGCAAAAAAATAAAAATAAAAACTTTAGTTTCTTGAAATTTCATAGTTCATGGACATGTGGTAAATAGGTAGATTCACCCCATTTTTAAATAGTTCTTGTTTATCTTTAGGGCTTCAGAGAGTTATAAAAATATAATTTTGAATATATATTCCCTCCTTCCTTTTTTACGTCCCTCCCTCCCCCCTCTCCTTTCTTTCTCTCTTTTTCTTTCTTTGTCTTTTTCTTTCTTTCTTGTCAATCCTAGGCTTGATTTCAGGGCCTGGGTACTGTCTCTTAGCTTTTCACTCAAGGCCAGCATTCTATCACTTGAGCCGCAGCTTTACTATCAAAATTGTGTGTGTGTGTGTGTGTGTGTGTGTTTATGCGCGCACAAGCGCGCATACACACAGGCATTTCTATTACCGGAACTTGAATTCAGGCCTATGTCTCACTTAACTTTTTTACTGAAGGCTGGCATTCTATCATTTGAACCAGAGTTCCACATCTGGCTTTTTGGTGTTTAATTGGAGATAAGAGTCTCATGACATTTTTATCCAGGCTGGCTTCAAACTTTGATCCTCAGTTCTCAGCTTCCTGAGTAGCTAGGATTCCAGGTGTAAGCCATCAGTAACAGCTTTGGCTATAAATTCTAAATTGGGTCTTAATGGGTAGAAGAGATGTGCTAAAGTGAACTTAAAGAATTAAAAGTACTTTAAAAACAACAACAACAAAGCAACAGTAAGCACTTTTTTTTTTCTTGTCGGTTGTGGGGCTTGAACTCTGGGCTTGGGCACTGTCCCTGTGCTCTTAAGCTCAAACAAGCACTCTACCACTTGAGCCACAGTGCCACTTCCAACAGTGAGCACTTAATTAGCCAGATTGACAAAAGTAGTGAGAAGTTAAATGTATATAAATGTGTCTGAAAGCCAACAATGGTAAACACGGTTGCAGAACTTTTTTTTTTAATTTTAAATGTGCCCTTGCTACTTGACGTTAAATTTGAAATGTATATGTTTATCAGAAATCACACAACTACATTTATAAATTGTAGATCGAAAATCCTCAGTATGTCCCAGTACTATACAAGCTGTTAATTACAGTTGGTAGGTAGTAGTAAGCGGACTGCTATTTCTTGGAAATATTTTTCAGTCTAATCTCCCACTTGAGCTATTCAGTAGTCAAGATATTTATTCTTAAGGTATAAAGGGAAGTATTTTTATGTCCCAGAGTGTGAAAATCACTTGAAATACTAGGAAATATCTTTCTCCTTTTCTCTCTACAAAATGGAGTTTATAAACTTTCTGTTAATGCATCTACGAACTCTGCCTTGTGTCTTGGGCTCTTGGACTTGGGGTTAGGGACACAATGTTCCCAATAGACAGTCTTCATTCTTCCATTTCCATCTCTAATGAGTTCTCAGTATGCCCTACATACTATGTTAAGTGCTTAGGGGATATACAGAGAGATGATCCTGGCCTCATGGAACTGGTAGTTTTTTTTGGTGTGTGCTGGTCCTGGGGCTTGAGCTTAGGACCTGGACTCTGTCCCTTAGCCACGTAGTTGTACTTCTGGCTTTTTGGTGGTTAATTAGAGATAAGAGTCTCATGGACTTCCTACCAAGTGTAGCTTTGACCTTGATCCTCAGATCTCAGCCTCCTGAGTAGCTAGGATTACTGGTGTGAACCACTAGCTTCTAGCATGAAGGTAGATTTTTATCAGTTTTGTTCATATTAAAATCTTGAGTGCCTTTTAATAAGCACTGAAGAGTTCTCTCTTTTTAGAAAGTAACACAAAGAATCTCTGCATTAGGACCTCTATTAATATCCTTTTTTTTTTTAAATTCGTTTTATTATGAATACTACTCATGTATCCAGTGAATTTTTTTTTCTTTTTTTTTGTCGGTCATGGGGCTTGAATTCTGGGCCTGGGCGCTGTCCTTCAGCTCTTCAGCTCAAGGAGAGCGCTCTACCACTTGAGCTACAGCTCCACTTCCTATTAATATCCTTTTATTTTTGGTCATGGGGCTTGAACTCTGGGCCTGGGTGCTTTCCCCTTGCTCTTCCCCTCAAGGCTAGTGCTCTACCTACCACTTGAGCCACAGTACCACTTCCAGTTTTCTGGTAGTTTTTTTTGGAGATAAAGAGTCTCACAGGCTTTCCTGCCTGGGCTGGCTTTGAACCATGGTCCTCAGATCTCAGCCTTCTTAGTAACAAGGATTACAGGCATGAGCCACCAGCACCTGGCTTGTAATATTTTTTTTAAATTTTTTTATTGAGATTAAGTGATTACATCGATTTCTCAAATTTCACAGTATTGTAGGATAGTGATACTTAAAGTCACAAACATATTTTAACTTTCACAAGGTAAATTGTCATTATCTTCGTCTATAAAATTTGTGAATTCTATAAGCTTTGACAATACAACTATTTCTTCTATGTTGGGTGATATGTACATTTCTTTCCTTTTGCTTAATGTTAGCCGTTCCCTCTATCCCTCTCCCCCTCTCTCCATCGCTGCCCTTGAGTTTCTTAATTTATTTTCATCAATGTCCAGTTCAGCTGATGGGCCCTCTGCTGTAATTTTTCCTGTTTCCCTCTGATTCTGTGCCCTCCTCCTAGCTTCCCTCAGACGCGCACATGTGCACACGCATACACACACAAACACACATACACACCATATATGGGGTCAAGAACTTGGAGTCATTTAGACATTATATGACAAATTAAATAGATGTCCTTTGTTTCTTGAGTCCTGTTTACTTTGTCATATCTCCTTGTATTTTGGATTTAACATCCACATATCAGGGAGATCATGTCCATTTTGTAATATTCTTTCTAATTCATGCTATTTGATTGTTTTGTCTCCTTAAACTGAAAATGCCATTAGGATGGACAGGAACCTTGAATGTACTGCTTATCAGTGCATATGTCTTGAATAGTGAATCCTCAATAAATATGTATTGGTTGCTTCTTTGTAGCCGAGTCAGTATTCAGTCTTAAAGAAGGAGTTTGTTTTTAAGTTATGTTTAGGAATGGCAATCACTGAACCATCACCATATTGAATCAAACATGATTTACTGGGAAGTGTAATACAACCTAATATCATTGGTCAAATCTAGCTTAAAAGTGAACTTTGTATTTCTAGTTGACATTCTGTGAGAAGATACAAATTTAGGTAGAATCTATTGCAAGAAATTCCTGGTTTTAGCCGGGCGCTGGTGGCTCACTCCTGTAATTCTAGCTACTCAGGAGGCTGAGATCTGAGGATCACGGTTCAAAGCCAGCCCGGGCAAAGAAAGTTCATGAGACTCTTATCTCCAATAAACCACTAGAAATCGGAAGTGGCACTGTGGCTGAAGCAATAGAGTGCTTGCCTTGAGCTGAAGAGCTGAGGGATAGTGCCCAAGCCCAGAGTTCAAGCCCCACGACCGACCAAAAAAAAAAAAAAAAGAAATTCCTGGTTTTGAGTTGATGGAGAAGCATGTGTGTAATGAATGACTGGTATTCTTGTAAACATTTAGGACTTGTAAATGACCCCAGTGAATTTCAAAACAAGTGAAAGACTAGGAACTTTTTTTGTTGTTGTTGTTGGTCATGAGGCTTGAACTCTGGATAGGGCTTGAACTCTGGGTCTGGATGCTGTCCCTGAGCTCTTCATCTCAAGGCTAGTGCTTTATCACTTGCACTTCCAGTTTTCTGGTAGTTTATTGGAAATAAGAGTCTCACGGACTTTCCTGCCCTGGCTGGCTTTGAACTGTGATCCTCAGATCTTAGCCTCCTGAGTAGCTAGGATTACAGGCGTGAGCCACCGGCTTTGCTGATATATTTTTAATGATTATTTATATTTGCAAGGGGGACTTGAAAGTATAGTTACTGATAATAAAACTAAATGAAACATATATTGTCTTTCAGATTTACCAAAAATTTATCTCCTGACAAGATAAATCTAAGTACCCTTAAAGGAGAAGGTGAACTGAAGAATTTGGAGTTAGATGAAGAGGTGCTACAGAATATGTTGGATTTGCCCACATGGCTTGCTATCAACAAAGTTTTTTGTAATAAAGCGTCCATTAGGGTAAGACCTTAATATTTATGGAGGTCCTTTTCTGTTTGCATTTTTTTCTTTCATTTGTCTTCTTTAAAATACTATGATAGATAATTCCATAAAGAAGCATTTTATTAATGTAATTTAGGAGGAAATTTTTTGACTATGTGTCTTAAAATATATATTAAGTCAAATATAAGTTAAGTCAAATTAATTAATTTGATTTTAATTTTGCTCAAACTTTATTCATTTTATGTTTCAAATTTTCTATTATTAATAATCATTGACATCATTGTCATTATCATCACCCCAGCTTATTTACAAATGAAAGACTAGGAACTCTTTTTTTGTTGTTGCTGGTCATGGGGCTTGAACTCTGGGCCTGGATGCTGTCCCTCAGCAAGCGTTCTACCAATTGAGCCATAGAACCACTTATTTGTTTTTGATTGTAGCCATTGTAAATTTGTATCATATCTTGCGCTGAAAGACCAGACTTAAATTGAGTCTACTTAGTGGAAAATACTGTATGATGATGTTTTTCATAAAATTAAAAATTGGTTTCCTTAGGAAAGATATAGAGGAGATGATATTATTTCCTTTTGGTGCTACTTTACATAAACTGAAATATGTAAAAATGTTACATTTGAGCCAGGCATTGGTGGCTCACACCTGTAATCCTAGCTACTAAGGAGGCTGAGATCTGAGGATCACGGTTCAAAGCCAACCTAGGCAGGAAAGTCTGTAAGACTCTTTATCTCCAATAAAACACCAGAAAACTGGAAGTGGTGCTGTGGCTCAAGTGGTAGAGCGATAGCCTTGAGCTGAAGAGCTGAGGGACAGCTCCCAGGCCCAGAGTTAAAGCCCCACAATCAACAGACCACCCACCTTCCCCCCCCCCCCCGCACAAAAGTGACATTTTTATTTTAGGGTTTATTTAAACTTTATTTGATAGTATTACATTTTATATTAATGATATTACTTTTGTATTTTTTAAAATGTTTACCAAGATATTATTCAAAATTTTAAGATTAAACAGTTTAATGAAAGAACAGCCTTCCTGAGAACTCTTATTTATTTATTAATGTTTTTTTTTATTGTGAAAATACCATACAGAGGGGTTACAATTACATGAGCAAAGTAATGAGTACATTTCTTTTTTATGGGGCGGGGGGAGGTCCAGTCGTGGAGCCTGAACTCTGGGCCTGGGCTCTGTCCCTCAGCTCTTCAGCTCAAGGCTAACACTCTACCACTTGAGCCACAGTGCCACTTCTGGCTTTTTTCTTTTTGCTTATGTGGTGCTGAGGAATCGAACCCAGGGCCTCATGATGCAAGGCAAGCGCTCTGCCACTGAGCCACCTTCGCAGCCCTGGTAATGAGTACATTTCTTATCAAGCATTGTTGCCTCCTCTTTTGTTTTCCCTTACCATCCCTGCCCTCCCATTCCTGGCCTGTAACCCTCCCCCCCCCCCCCCCCCAAGCGATTACTCGACCACGACCACGACCTCCGACCCCCCCCCCCCCCACACTTTGCCCCGCACCAGCTGAGAACTCTTATTTAAATTACAAAATTAAAATGTGTTCTAAGGCCTGAGAATAGATAGTTAAAAGAAATTAAAGTTCTTATTTAAATAGCTGGCTAAGGAAATATAGCTAATATTTTCTTGCATAAAACAGATACATCTAATTTCAAAAGCACAAATAGGCTGATCATGAAAGCGATATATCTAATTTCAAAAGTACAGATCAGCTGCTCTGTTTATTTTAGTCTAGAAAAAAGTCATGTAAGTTTCTGTCACTGTATATAGTAAACCTGTTTTGCATTATTTTTTAATATATTTTTAAAGAAACAATTTCTATTTGTAGATCCCATGGACAAAACTGAAAACACATCCCATCTGTTTGGTGAGTTCTGAAACCTACTCAAAAACAAGCATTTATAGATTCAAATTAACTACTGTTGATATTAATCTTTTGTTTCATAAACTGTTTCCTGGATTTTGCATCCATTGGCTTCCTTCTTATTTTGATTAGATTTATTTTTTTCAGTACTTGTATGAGAAGTTTGAATTTTATTTTAAAAGTTTTTATTAGCATACATTAGTTATATGAAGGGATTTATTTTGGTATTTCTATACATGCATATGATGTGCTTTGATCACATTTACCCCCTCTATTGAGCTTTTCTATACCTCTCTACCCTGCTCTTGTTTTTACTGCAGTTTGAACTGAAGGCCTTGCAATCGTTAGGTAGCTATTCTACTACTAGAACCCATACCAGGTCCTTTTAGATTTGGTTATTTTTGAGATATAGGTCTTGTGGTTTTGCTTAGATCAGACTGGGCAGCACTTGTACTTGTACTCCCTACACAGCTGGAATGACAGGTGCAAGTCATCATCCCCAACTCTTTTTGTTGTTGAGATAGGAATCTTGCCAATTTTCTTGGTCAGGCTGGCCTGAACAGTGGTTTTCCTAGTCTGTTTCCGGAGTAGCTATTTGTAGTTAACAGGCATGAACTTTCCCACCCTCTAATCAATTTATAGGGTGTTTTATACTAAACATTTTGCACATTCATGTAGTGTAGACAAGTTTAAAATTTTAAATAGAGGATATTTAAAGCTTATCAGGTCAAGAATATCATGTTTTAAGTTGGCAATTATTTAACTCTAAACCTCTTTTTGGTGGGAGATATCAGAACTGAAGCTTTGAACTTAGGGCTTTGCTATCTTTCTCATTCCATTTTTTCACTCAAAGCTGAGGCTTTACCCTTTGAATTATGTCTCCAGTTTCAACTTTTTGGTGGTTCAGATAAGAGTCCCATAGGTTTATCTGCCCTGGTAGCTTCAAACTGAGATCCTCAGAATTATTTAACTCATAATTGATTTACTGTGAAATTCTTTTAATAGCATTTGCTTTTGGTGGCCTAGTAAATTTAGTAACATATTCTTTAATATACTTTGCTTTTTAGGGAAAATTGAAGGAAGTTAATAATATCATTTATTGATATATTAGTTCCACAAAGGTTTGTTTTTTGTTTTTTTTGTTTTTGTTTTTGGTGTTGAAGATTAAACCCAGGGCCTAGCTGAGTTTAGTGCTAAGCTGAGCTACCACCCAATTCTAGTCCATAAATATTTTTGAGTATTTGGTTTTTGTTTTGAGGGAACTTACATTTTAATAGAGGAAACTGAATACAAATAGAACAATAATTTCAGATAATGATAAATGCTCTCAGTGTAAGGAGAATGAGAAATGACAGGAATTGCTAAGGACATTGGATCTTAATTAAAAAAAAAAAAAATTGGAACCGGGGTTTGAATTCAGGGCCTCATGCTGCTGCTTGAAATTTTCTCTACCACGTGAACCATACTTTCGCTTCCATAGATCTTTCCTTAATTCTTGCCCTGAAAAGACATTTAAATCTTAACCTGAGAAAGAACTTTTTCCATTAGGAGACTGTTTATATTTTCTGCTTATTTCATAATTTTTCTTAGTTTTATATCTTATATTTCAGGTCTCAGGTTGGGCTAAACTTTTTAGAGGTGGTTCAGTTCTCCTAATATAATTTATTAACTAATATGTTACACATAATGGCCTCAGAAATTTCATAAAATACAGTGATCTCATTGATCAGTGGCATCTTCTGAATTTTTTCTCCCATATACATATAATATTCATGTACAGTTTTTGCACCATATACTAAATGCTTGAGCTAGGACTGAATATATTGTTTCCCTTTTTGGCAATTTTAGAACTAGTTTGCTCCTAAAAAAACAAAAGAGAAAATAGTCTGAATACTTTCATTAATACACATAAAATAAAATACCTATTTATTTACTTTTTAAAAAAAACATTTTTATTAGTCTTTAGATAAAGTAATAATGGAAATGAGTACATGTGAAGAGCCCCGTGCTCCAAATGGTCCATCACCAATTGCAACTGCTTCAGGACAAAGGTAAGGTATGTCCTTTAATCTGTGTGACTGCCAAAAGGGTATTCTTTTCTATAGTCAGCTCTATTACTAAAAGTGACAGGACATAAATAAAAAATGTTAACTTCAGACCATTTCTATTTCAGTTACTTGTGAGCCCTGTAAGGCTGCAACTAATGTTTTCTGTGTTTCAGCTTCATTCACATGGAATTTGTTGAATTGAATTAGAGAATGTATAATTTTTCTGATCTTAAATTATGATATTACACTCCAGCTGGACTCTGTAGCCTTCTTACAAATTGAACTCTCATTTACTTTATAGATGCTAATTGACTAAGGCTTTTTGAGAATGAATAGCTATAGATATTAATGCTAGTAAACTAAAAAAAAATCTTGTACATTTTGTCCAATACTTTTCTTTGGAACACAAGAAGGTATCACTGTTTTAAGTCTAGACTGGCCTTGAACAGGTGATTCTCCTGCCTTAGCCTTCAAAGTGCTGTGATTATGTGTCTCTAAGCCTGGCTTGAGAGGAACTTTTTTTTTGTCAGTAATGGGGCTTGAACTCTTGGCCTGGGTGCTGTCCCTCAGCTCTTCAGCTCAAAGCAAGTGCTATACCACTTGAGCCATAGTGTCACTTCCGGTTTTCTGGTGGGTAGCTAGGATTGCAGCTGTGAGCCACTGGTGCCTGACGAAAGGAACATTTTTATAATTTATATGTAATCAGTTTCTTGTTTTAATAGAAACAGATTTGTTCTTTTTCTAACAAATATGAATAATATATTATTAAGGCAGTTTGTGTATGTATTTATAATGTTTTTAAATATGTGTATTTATAATGTTTTTTTCTTTGACTTTAATGCATTGTATCTGTTTTTCTTTTTTTTTAGTGAATATGGCTTTGCTGAAAAAGTAGTTGAGGGAATTACTGTTTCTGTAAATTCTATTGTCATCAGAATAGGAGCAAAAGCCTTCAATGCATCCTTTGAACTTTCTCAGCTAAGGATCTACAGTGTAAATGCAAACTGGGAACATGGAGATTTAAGATTTACTCGTATTCAAGATCCACAGAGAGGAGAGGTAAAAATTCATTTTCTTTTTTAAAATGTCTTAGTAATGAATTAAATAAAAATATTTAAAATAGTTATATTTTACTGCTGAGGACTTAGTGATAGAGAACTTGTATAGCATGTATGTGCAAGGCTCTGGATTTGATTCTAGTACTGCAAAACTAAAGTTTTTTTTTTTTTTGCCAGTCCCAGCGCTTGAACTCAGGGTCCAGGCACTGTCCCTGAGCATCTTTTGCTCAGGCTAGCACTCTACCACTTGAGCCGCAGAGCCACTTCTGCCTTTTTCAGTTTTTATGCTACTGAGGAATCAAACCCAGGGTATGATGCATGCTAGGCAAGCACTCTACCACTAAGCCATATTCCCAGCCCACAAAAGTGTTTCTTAATCAAATAATCATGCCAGGCACTGGTTGCTTATACCTACAATTCTAGGAGGCTGAGATCTGAGAGGATCATGTTTCAAAGCTAGCCCAGAGAGGAACATTTGTGAGACTCTTATCTCCAGTTAATCACCAGAAAACTGGAGGTGTCACTGTGGTTCAACTGGTAGAGTGCTTGCCTTGAGCTGAAAAGCCCAACACAGCACCCAGGCTCAGAGTTCAAGACCCATGACCGACCAAAAAACCACAAAAGCAGTGTAATTCACTTATTGAATTTGAGTTTACAAAACTAAAATGTCTTAAAATACATTACATTTATAGTACATTTTTGTCATGATTCAAATGTTTTTTATACCTTGTATCAAATGTCTTAGAATAAAAGTATTAATGTGTAATTTTTTAAATGAATATAATTATGATCATATATTTGATAGAAGTATACAATTAAATAAATGCAGTTTGATGAATATATAGAATATGAAAATTAGTTGGGAAGATAGTATTTTATTTTTATATGAATGTATATTTTGTTTATTTTACTTTGCCTATGTGAAGCTAATCTCTGTGTTCTCCTTAGGTTTTGACATTTAAAGAAATGAATTGGCAGATGATTCGAATAGAAGCGGATGCCACCCAAAGTTCACATCTTGAAATTATGTGTGCTCCTGTTCGATTAATAACTAATCAATCAAAAATCAGAGTCACACTTAAAAGAAGAGTGAGTCAACTAAATTACCTTTCAGATTTATTTGTTGCCTATTAGAATTGGCAGAACATTTTAACATTTTGGGTGAAGTATTGACATAATATGAATGGTATATTAAAATAATGTCAAGTAAAGGGAGATGAAATACCTCAAGCAATATTTATAGAAAGCTAGTATAATTAATTATAACATTCTTCATTTCATATGTAATCACTAAATAGTTTTATTCTTAATAAATTGAGTAGAGTTTTCAGAGCCAAATGGCTGCTGAACATTTACTGTCTTATGATTTTGTTTCTTGGGTTGGGAGTATAGCTTGTAAGTACAATATTTACTTTTATCACACAGCAAAACAGAAGAAAAGTAATTTTATTTCTCCTACTTAATCTCCAGGAATAAATATCAAAGCCTTTATTATTGATAACCAACTTTCTTAAGATATGGCCATAATCCTGGCTATTCATATTGAAATCTTAGGATCGTGGTTCAAAGCCAATCTGGGCAAGAGGCTATTGAATCTCCATTTAGCCACAAAATGTTGTAAGTGGAGCTGTGGCTCAAGTGGTAGGTTTCTAGCCTTGAGAAAAAGATTTCAAGGTCAGTGCCCAGGCCTCGAGTTCAAGCCTTAGTACTAGCACAAAAGAAAAGATATAATTAGTTACTTAGATAAATAGGGGAAATAGTATTTTAAGGTATTAGAAGATGACAGTCTGCTAAGCTTGGCAATGAAATTTAATTTGTAGGTGATAACTTTTTTGAAAGCATGGCATTTTAAAGACTCAACAGTAAGCTTTGTATAACCAGGCACAAATAATAAAAAGTGAAAGCATTTTTTTTTCTCAGAGTTTGGTACTTAACATAGATATTCTGAATTGTGGGTAAAAGAGCATTTTAGTTTTTAACTAGTTGTAATTAAATGATTTGTCAAGTATAAATGCAAATATATATATATATATATGCTATATATATTGGTTAAGATAAGGAGTTTGTCATTCTTTTGTTATCACTGCTATATCTAGCACTAGGAGTTAAAAGTATTTATTAAATGAAATAACTATCCATACCTGTTTTTAATTCTATCATAAACTTTAAGCTTTTTAAAAAATATAGCTGTATTATGTTTTATTTTTGTCTTAATTTTGTCAATACTTTTTTTTGACAGTTAAAAGACTGCAATGTCATAGCAACAAAGTTAGTTCTAATATTGGATGATTTATTATGGGTTTTAACGGATTCTCAGTTGAAGGCTATGGTACAATATGCAAAATCTCTTAGCGAAGCAATAGAAAGATCTACAGAACAGAGGAAAAGTATGGCTCCTGAACCTACACAGGTATGGTGTAAATTAACATAAAAACTTTACATGTAAGTGGTTTAACTTATTTTTCTTTTGTTGGTCATGGGCTTGAACTCAGGATCTGGGCACTGTCCCTGAACTCTTTTTGCTCAAGACTAGCGCACAACCACTTTCAACCACAGTGCCACTTCTGATTTTCTGGTGTTTAATTAGAGATAAAAGTCTCAGGACTTTCCTGCTCAGGCTGGCTTCGAACCGTGATCCTCAGATCTTAGCCTCTTGAGTAGCTAGGATTACAGGCGTGAGCCACTGGCACTCAGCTAAAACTAAATTTCTTTTTATAAGATAAGATACTTTACAATATAATTATATATATTATATATAGAGAAATACTAATATTGCCTAGTGCTTTTGTTTGGAACATTTTACTAAGCACCACCAGACTTATTGCTGACATAAAAGCATCTGATGCAACTAGCTGCAGTTAACCAGAAAAAGCCAGAAGTGAAATTATAGAGCAAATTGTAGAGTACCAGCCTTGAACAAAAAAGCTTAAGTTACAGCAACTAGTCCCTGAGTTCAAATGTCAGTACTGGTACACACACAAACACACAAAAATAGAATTAAAACTAATACTCAACTAAGTTGTCTATAGTAGTTAATAACTTTTTTTTTTTTTGGGTCCGGTCGTGGGGCCTGAACTCTTGGGCCTGGGCGCTGTCCCTCAGCTCTTCAGCTCAAGGCTAGCACTCTACCACTTCAGTCACAGTGCCACTTCCGGCTTTTTTTTTTTAATGCTTATGTGGTGCTGAGGAGTCAAACCCAGGGCCTCATGCATGCAAGGCAAGCGCTCTACCACTGAGCCACCTTCCCAGCCCTAACTTTTTGTTTTGAGAATCATACATATGTGAATATAACGTAAGCATTTACTAAAACCTACTTGGTTCATATTCAAGTTGCAAAGTTTAAAAATGTTTTTGTGCTGGTACTAGGGGTTGAACTTAGGGCCTATTGCTTTTGCTTGGCCTTGTTACTTAAAGCTGGCACTCTACCACTTGACCCATACCTCACTTCCAGCTTTTTGTTTGGCTAATTGGAGATAAGACTCTTATCAACTTTCCTGGTGGATTGAATTCATTGAGGATACTTAAATCTCAGCCTCTTTAGTAAGTAGGGCTAAGCATGAGCTACCAGTGTCTGACTAATTTTTAGTTTCCTTCTACTGTAATTCAGAAAAAAAATTAGGGGAACTCAATTATTGATACAAAAGAAATTATATTTTTCATGGCTTTATTACTGCAAATATTTATGTTTGCTTTAGTGTGAAATTTCTAGTATGTAACTTGGCAGGGGTAATGCAGTTTTGAATTTTTCTAGAGCTCTACAGTAGCCCCATCTACTCAGCAAGTAAAGACACCACAGACTCCAAATGCTCCTGATCTGAATGATGCAATTGTGAAACTCTTCAGTGACTTTGATGTTAAAGAAACCTCCCATCATTTAGTGATTTCTCACCTAGATCTTCACATTTGTGATGATATTCATGCGAAAGAAAAAGGTAATATAATTTGCTCATTTCAAAATACTTTGGCCTTTATAGAATTAACGATAAAACTGAATTTATTGTATATTTTACATATAATATGTAATATGTATTTAGGGTAATTTTTTATTGTTTTGACATTTATATAGATATATAAATGAAAGGCAAAATTTGAAGCTTTATGCTGTCATAAAATTTTATTTGGTCTTAGTAGTTTGTATTTAAAGCTTAAGTGTTAGGCTACAAGTAATTAACTGTAAAATACTGTTTAAAAAATAAGAGTTTAGTAAATAGATGACTGCTGAATAAAATATCTTGGATTTGTCTTTGTATTAAATTTTTTGTAAATTTGAAATTTATAAATTTTAACCAAGATTCTACTCATTATTATTCACACGTGTTTTCAGCATTATGATTACCCATTTCTAGATGAGTGTGCACCAACAGAACTATGTGGCTCTTTAACGTTTGTGTTTTCTGCCCTTCTCCCTACAAATATTTGGTTAGGAAGTTAAATTCCAGTGTGATTTATTTTTTTCTTCCTCCTTTTCCTCTTCCTTTTCTTCCTCCTACTTCTCTTCCTCATTTTCCTCCTCTTAACTCTTACTTACTCAAACATTACAGACATACGCATACAGGAAGCTGTTCTTGGTTATGTTGAAAAATCTGTGGTTCCCTAGTCTAGGAATTGTGCCTTTCTGTTTCTTCTGCCATGGAGCATCCCTGGCCCACTAGTGTTGAGGAAATTCAGCAGGTAGACATCTCAAGAATAATGTTGCTCCGACTTTGGTGGTTTTGTGTGTGTACGCACATGTGTAAATGTGCACATATGCACGTGTGCATGGATGCATTGGTACTAAGATTTGAATTCAGGGCCTACTCTGTGTTTCTTAGCTTTTTGGCTCAAGGCTGGTGTCTCTACCATGTGAGCCGCTGCTCTGCTTATGGCTTTTAAGTGGTTAATTGGAGACAAGAGTCTCACTGACTTTTCCAGTCCAAGATGGCTTCATACTGTAATCGTCAGCTCTCACTCTTCCGAGAGGCTAGGATTACAGACAAACATGAGCCAACAGCATCTGGCTTTAATGTGAAGATCATTGAAAGAGAAACAGAAATATTTGACTTTTGCACCTTGATTATAAAATAAGCTAATGATTTTTTAAAAATAGAGGTATTTGGAAGTGGTGCTGTGGCTCAAGTGGTAGAATGCTTACCTTGAGCTGAAGAGCTGAGGGGACAGCATCTAGGCTCAGAGTTCAAGCCCCATGACCGACTACCCCCCCCAAAAAAATAGATAGAGGTATTTGACCCAAATCAATTCTATCATGAATTCTTTGTACTTTCTAAAAACTAAGAAAGTGAATAGTGAGTCTTAGTTACTTAGCAGTAGACACGGCAGCTGGGAATCGGCTAAAAATAAAAAGGCAGAAGGGTATAGCTTAAGATTTGGGGTTTGCAGAGAGATTTGTTGTCTCTTTAGCTTGTGTGTCATTTGGGTTATTGGTGCCATTTTCTGCTTTAGTTTGAAAGGAAAATCCAAACACATTAAAACAAATCAAAGTAATAAAATTGAGCAATAAGAAGTTTTTACTTAGAAAATTTCTGATCTCTTTTACATTCCTTGTTTTTCATTATTCCCTCATAGAATAAACTGAGGGATTTTATTAAAGGGGAAATCCCTGTATTTTATTTTCCGTATTTTACAGGTCTGTAGTCACTTCTACTCTTTGGACAAGGCTCTTTCCAAAAGACTATGAAATATTTTTTCATAAGTTTGCAAAAGATCATTTGGATGCAAACCCTGAGCTAATGCATTATTATATCCCCTTATTGTAAAAACTTGTAAGTTTGCTGTAGAATTTCAGTTTTTATTATGCTGTCTCAGAAACTGCTGACTGTTGTGTATTATATTCTGTACATACCATATTAATTTAATAAAATCTAAAAAATACTGAATTATCTTAAAAGATTGTAAATGAGATGAATTGGGGTTAACTAATATAGGCAATGTATACATTGTTTCTAGCTTACATTACTTACAGTTAAATTGTTCATGGTGTTTTAAGCATTTGATTTTTGTGTTGGCATTATACTGATTTATGTTGACTTTTGATTATATGATTACTATGTAACTTTTGACAACTTACCTGATTGAATATATTCCTCTTTGGTAAGAGGCAGGATGATGCATTTAATGAAGTGGTTAAGATTTCCGAGTTCTGGGCTGGGAAGGTGGCTCAGTGGTAGAGTGCTTGCCTTGCATGCCTGAGGCCCTGGGTTCAATTCCTCAGCACCACATAAGCAAAAAGAAA